TAATAAACTAAATTATCTTGCAAAAGTAGTTTATTTAGCTTCAAATAATATATAAAGCAAATATCATGTAATTATTTCATTGTTTAATTTATTAATCATGTAAGTCCACATTCTTGAATTCTGAGTAAACTCAATTAGTTTAATATAGTAAAGGTTTTGTAATTCGTTTATATCAATATAACACAAGCCATAGTTTTCTACAAACCCGTACTATAGCATAATATTTTATTCAAATAAATGGTCGTTCTGAAGTAGCACTTTTTATGACGAGACAAAAGTTTTGTGAAATCGAACGATTAACCGTTAGCATTTTAAGCATTTTAGCTGATTAGCTGATTAGTATAATGGTTAGTTCAAACTTTTTTCGTTTCTATCATGTTAAATATATCAGCTAATTGCTAAACGAATAAAAAATATAATTGATTACTTGACAGTATAATCTTTCTCAGAAAGAAAAATTTGTTTTGCTTTTAATTATGTCTACTTTACAATTTATATGATAAGAATTTTATTTTAAAACATCAGTAATAAGAAAAAAATATTTTATGTAAATTATTGTTATATTTTCTATAATAAAAATATCATTAAAAGTGATAATAGTTTCTCGTACTAAATTATGAGAAAAACGCAAGCATTTCGCTGATTGGTCACTTATGTAGAGGGAATTTCCGACTGCATTGCTTTCCGAGCATTTAAGGATATCCAAGATATCCTCATCGACGAAATGATCATGAAAGTTATGAAACTATAGGTCTAATAAAATGGTTTAATAAAATAGTAATTTCAGTCAGGTTTAAATAATAATAAAAAATAAGTATGAGTTGCAAAACTATCACGGCTGTTTCGAGATTTTATATAAAAAATAACTTTTATATTATTCATCATAATAAATAAATTGTATTGGCGTCAGGGGCGGATCTATATAGGGACTAGTAGGGCTTAACGGCCCTACTAGTCCCTATGTAGATCCGCCTCTGGTAGATCCGCCTTGGTCCCTCAACGGCCCACAAAAATTGAATTATTATAGTAAACTTTTAATATTTTATTTCTTGTGTTTTTTATATAAGGTATAAAGTTTGTCATTGAACACCATTTTATAAATAAATATATTTCAACTCTGATTTTGATGTTATTAAAAAGGAATTTTAAACCCCAATTTAAAGATTCTTAATCTAAAAAAAAAAAAAAAATTTGGCTCCATTGGACTTCAATAAACCCTAGGCCCGAAAAATCTAGATCCGCCCGTGTTGCGTCATCTGTTATGAGATTTTGTTATAAAAACTTCTCTATAATTTTAATTAGTATAAAATAGCAAAAGACTTAATTTTGAGTATAGAGATGAGTTTTATATAAAAAAACAAAAAGGAAAAAAACTAAATGCTAACATCAAGTAAAATCTTCATTAAGTCTGATCCCACGCGAGTTGTGACACGTTACTCCCCTCGGCCAGCACGAGTCTTTTGTGTCCTGGAAGGACACAAAAGACTCGTGCTGTTGAAGAGCTTCTAGAAAGTGAAGATATTACCAGAATGGATTGACCAGCGTACTCCCCTGATTTAAATCCCATAGAACATGTGTGGGATGCTTTGGGAAGACACCTTTCGGCATGATTATATCTGCTGAAGAACACCGAACAACTGAAACAGATGCTCATTGAGGAATGGGCACTTTTACCTCAACAACTGTTTGATAATCTGATATTCAGTAAGGAGAGACGGTGCCAAGCAACATCTCAGTTAAGGGAAGTTATATCTCTTACTAAGGGACATTTATTTGTTGTTTTCCCTCGTGGGTAATCATTTTATCAACGCTACTCTTTCAATAAAGCCTTTTTTTGTTTGATTCCATACTGTATGTGTTCTATTTATTTTTGCGCTAGTATGCTTTCTTCATCCTTTAAGTACAAAATAATGTCTCTGTATTCTGAATTTCATGTCTCTCAGGTGATTTCTTGTGGAGTTATAGCAAAAAAATCAATCGTTGCTTAAGTTTTGCACACCAGTGTATATAGACTTGCCATGCGGCCGAAAATAGTCTGAATTCTTCAGGATTTTGGTAGCTATCTGATATTTTATTCCGGGCATTGAAACGTTCGGGATTCAAAATTTTATTCCGTAAAATGTCTAACTTTCATTTACTTAATCGGTTAATCCAGCCAATTAATGTCCATTCGAAAAGTATTAAATAAATATAAAAAATTAATTTATTGTCAAATTGTTTTAGTATTTTTATAGTATTTAGTAGTTAGTGTAGCATGGCTTTGTAAGATAAATTATGTTAAAATAGTATTTAGGTCTATAGAAAGATTACCCAGTAATTTGTTAGTAGACGTTTCTTACATTATTTTTCTCATTTTATTCCTTTTGATTTTATTGAATTGTATATGTAGATAAATATATTTTCACTGTGATTTTATTACTTTCCCGGCTGTTATGTATAACAGAGGGAAAGTATGGCGATAGGTCAAAATTTTTACAAATGTAAAATGTAAATTGGACTTGAAACACCTTGAAACGTCGAGAAATGCAAAAAAAAAAGAAAAAAAATTGGGGGTAATTTCTGTATTATGGATGTTAGTGTAAGTGTGTGCATGTGTGTAGGTGCATGATTTTGTTCACCCTCTTTAAAGCTTAATAAGGCCTGTGCTTTTTGTCGAAAATTTCTGAACAAACCTCCCTGAAAATTTTCAGGGAGATTTGTGTATTACGGGGGTTGATGCTATTAAATTTTGGTGGTTAAAGGTCGAGGAAGTGGGAAGATAATGGTCGTGTGTATCTCCAGTAGGGTCGGATTAATCACTATTCTACTCGTTATTAGCATTTACAATTTTTATATAAAACTCATCCCTACCCTCAAAATTAAGGTTTTTGCCATGGCGGTACTAAATTAAATATTTCCGGGAAATTTGAGCAACTCGTTGCTGGTTTATTTTTATGTTTGTATGTATAACAGTCTCTGTCGTTCGCATTATTTTGCATTTAAAAAATCTTCGCATCCATTTAACCTCCTTCCCGTTCTACGAGCATCCAGGGTTAGTTTTTGAAAATTGTAACTCTAGGATACTACACATCCATATATTGTACATGAAATAAAATTTCGATATACTCATACTTTTAATTGAATTACAGTTTAATAGCGTATTCGTTGCATATTGCATATCTATTATGATAAAGGTGTGATTAATATTTAAATTATTATTCTATATCACGTTAGATATTCTGAATTGACCAGACGGAAAAATTCAGTATCGTAATGTTACAGTACGTTACATTAAACAAAAATAAATAATTGCTTTATATTTAATGTAAATTTTAAAAAAATCATTATATTTTATTTACACATATCTAAGCAGAAAAGTCCCGAAGGACAATTGATATCTGCTCTCAAATAACAATTATATAAAAATATATAAATATAACAAGTAAAAGAGAAAAAAAACAACAATTAAATAAAATAAAAAAGTGTATAATGCGTTTTCACATTTTAATTTAAAACTAGGAAAATTAAAATATAAAAATTCATCAAAATTGTCTAAATTTTGAGAAATAAGATTTTAAAGAAAAGGATCTTTGAAAAATATACTCAAACAAAAAAATGAAATAAACGCGCAAGATAAAGTCGTAGGATTTTCGAAGGAACATGTAAAAATAGCCGATCATAATAAATAAAACCATTTAAAAATTTAAAATAAAGTAAGCTATCGAATTATTTGATACGCGCAAAAAGCAAAACCTAATCTAATTCTTGCAATATTAAGATTATGTTTTTCTTTAATTCGCAATCCTCCTTTACCTACCTTTTCTATTGATTCTACTCTTATTAATTCTGTTACGCCATTTAATGATCTGGGAATAATCTTTGATACTAAACTTACTTTTAAAAATCATTTTGATAAAATAGTCAAATCTCTGTCTATTAGACGTAAATATTGTGGCGGTTTTGTAAACCTCTCTCCTCTAAGAGTTCATTAAGAGCTATTTTTTCACTAATTTTATGTCTTGTATTGATTGTGTATTATCCATTTGATCCCGCCCCTTCCCTTTCGGATAAAGTTGCCAAAGCTCTTGGAAAAATTTACTTATCTTTTACCGGTAATAAATTATGCAATTTACCATATACTCAGAACCAAAGTTTTTGTACACTAATCCTGAGATTAGCAGACTCAAATAGATTTTTTAGCGAGCAAATATCAGACTATAGGATCTTCGGATCGGAACATATCAATTTAATATCGTCGGCATAAGCTACAACGTATTCCAACAAAACTTGGAAGATACGATTGTCTCTACTGTAATAGAGACAAACGGTTGGCTTTGATAAACTAAAAAATAAGAGTAATTAATCATTAAGCAACTTGCACCATCTAAATTGTTCATTGTAACTTTTTAATTTATGAATTTTTTCAAAACGTTTTGTTAACTATTTTAAAAATTTCTTTTAATTATAATTTTTATTTAATTGATTTAAATTTAATAAACAGCATACATTTTGATTTTATGAAAGGGCGTTTATAATAGCGAAAAAGATAACGTGAATAATAGTTCCGGAAATTCCACGTGATTACTCTTAAAATAATCTTTAATTAAAGAAAAATTATTTTAAAAATAAGGCGATATGTAGTTAACCTTGAAGGAGGAAACAAAGAGAATTACTTCTTGCATTTCTGGATCGACTCCAATTCTTCCTGTTGATACGATATTTTTCTGAAATCATTCACGTTCCAAGAATTAACTATTGGTTACACCTTACAACGTTGTCTTATTTAATATATCAATCAAAATAACTTTCTTTGAAATCGTTGTTTTAAGGTGCTTAGTAAAATTATCTGAAAATAGGGAGAAGCCAGTTTTTTACTATTTTCAAATGAAATTAAAATTAAACTTATCGACGTAAAGATAAATTATAAACCTTTTAGTTATATAAATTATATTAATAATTAAGAAATATAAAAATTATTCAGAAAATAATTTTTAAAATTATTATTCACTTTATTTTTATAGTTTTTAGGTGTTGTTTCGGCAGGAGTATGCGTTTGGGTGTTGGCTACTCCAGAAAAATTTATTGTTGGTGAAACTATCGTAGCATTTGAATGGGATGGTGGAGATTCTCCTAAATTAGGAATTGCTACGGCCATTTTAATGCTGTTTATTGGAATTGCAGCATGTATTGCGAACATAGAAAAACGATTTATTCCCGTAAGTATTATTATCTTAGTAAATTAGCAATGTAAACGATGACAACGAGGAAACAGACAGTTTCTTTTTATTAAATAAATGATATATTTAAAACTAAACAAGAATAATAATTGTAACTATTTGTCTCATGTTAGTTAATTAAAATAATATATATTATTTGTGTAGATATAGGGTAACTGTACCATTAATTGCCTCATTGATAGTATGTCTCCTCGTGTAGTGGCCTGTGTAGCTGTCGTGGGGGCAATATTCTTTACTGAATAAACAGGTGCCTGTTGCATATGTTTGTTTGTTCTTTTAATCATTTGCATATCTCTGTCACCTCTACCGGATGTGCAATGTGTTACACGCATTCAGTTGTGGTGTTGCGATTTCACTTTTGTTGGAGCGTGTATAATACTGTCGAAATATCAATATTGATGCATAAAATACTATAGAAGTAATTTTATCATTTTAAATATTCAATCTGTACAATGAAAAATAACTAAGTTTATAAATTTTCTTTGACTTTAACCTAGATATTTATATTTTAATACATTAATTTTTATTGGCTGTCGTTGTAATGGCAGTTTCATCTTTTATTACGTTTTGTTTGGATATAAAAAATAAATTTAATAATAAACTTTGAACGTTACACTTAAAACTTCATTTTCTTTGTATAAATTAAGAAAGTGTAAAATTTCATAAAAAGTATCAGATATTAACATGTTGATACAATCGCTTTTAATAAGAATTGATATAATTATTTTAAGTAACTGTATACTGTATTTATATTCGATTTATTTTTATACAGGTACAGTCAGTTCAAAAAGTTTAGAATAATTTAACTTAATCAAAAAGTGCATACCCTTGAATGACAATAACTAGGTGAAATAAAAAAATGAAAAAACTAAATAAAAGGATATTCAGGCTCGACTTTTAGCTGTATTTTCATATAATATATTAATTTATAAATAAACTGTTAAAGAGCCATTATTTTTTACTTAAGTGAATGATGTTCAAAAAGTTCAGAATATTATGAAATAAATTAGTAAATATTGTCCAGTTATAAGTAACAGTGCTTGCAATTTACTGCAGTTATGTAAATTGTATCACAAGTAGGACTGTATAAATTACAATCTTGCATTTGTCACAAAAGCAAGGTTAACGCTATGGGCAAGAACGGCAATTATGCTTGGATTAGACTCAAAATTATTGATTTACACGAAGAAATTATTAAGCAAGAAGAAAGAGCGACGAAAGCGAATTGTTCGCAGTCTAAAGTGCAAAAAATAATTCAAAATTTAATGAAACTGGAAGTTTAAATGTTGAAAAACGCTCTGATCGTCCAAAATTTACTTCAGAAACGAGAAAAATCAGCACTTAAAAGTTGTAAAACAAAATAGACACGCAAGCTTGCATGTCTATTTTGTTTTACAGATATCACAAGACTGATTGGAAAACCAATTTCAGAAACAATGGTTTACAGTCATTTGAGGATGGGTTATAAAGCAGTCAAACCAGAAAAGAAACTTATCTGAGAAAAACCGATTAATTTGCATAAAAAATAGAAGAGTTTTATACCCAAACAACGGCAAAGTCATTTTTAGTGGCAAAAGTATATTTGGCATTTTTTTTTCTTTTAAATTATGGAGAAAGTTTGGCTCTTGAAATGTAAAACCAACAATCCAGATTGTTTACAACAAATCATTAAATTTTCCAGTAAGTTAAGGTGTGGGGTTCGCTGGACTATAATAGACTTGCAAAATTGTGATTTCTTAATAAGACAGTAAATGGTGATTTTTAGAATATTTTCTCATTCCAACATTTTCAAGATAATGTAATCTTTTAACATGATGAAGTTAAAGGGCATACATACAAAAAAAAAGCCAAAGAATGTTTACGTTTAAAAAATAAAGCTCTTGGATTGGCTTGGAAACTCGCTAGACTTGTCCCCAATTGAAAATATTTGACCCATTATTAAAATGACTGCACGACTGTAACCCAACCAATAAACAAGATTTAAAAGAAAATCTTACAAAAATTTGGTATGAAATTAGTCTTGAACAATGTCAATCACTTATTGATAGTAGGTAAAAAATAATAAAATTTGTAATTCATAATAAAGGAGATTTAACCAACTATTAGAATAAAATATTCTATACATTTTGAACACGATTTCAAATGATCTGAACATCATTCACTTAAATAAAAAGTTATGATTAATATTTTATTTAGAAATTAATATTTTTATTTGGAATTAAACACAAAATTGCTACAGAGAACTTAGTATACAGGAACACTTCTTTTTTCAATGGAAAAAATACATTTTATTTTCTTTTCTTATGAAAGGAAATGCATTTCGGGCCGTATGTCCTTTTTCAGTCCTTATTAAGTTTAAATTAAGGTAAAACTATATAAGAACATATTTAATAGTTATTTATATTTTATATACGTGTACAACTCATAAAAAATACAAAACATTATTTATAACTAATGGTGACTACTGGAATAACTATTAAAAACATATGATAAAACCAGTAAAAGTAAAACAAAAAAATAAATAAATATAATAAAATGATAAAAAGTGATAAAAGTACTAATAAATTTCATTTTACTGGTATATTCTTTTATTACTTTTTATTAGTATTTAGTCATTTTACTATATTTATTTGTTTTTTAATTTATTTTCGTTTTACTTTGTGATGGAGTCCAATTATTCTGAACTTTTTGAACTGACAGTAATTAAGTACAGTATTTTACATTTTCATGGATATATATAATAAATTTTTTTTTAAATTTCGCACATTAACCTTTTTTAAATATTTTTTTCTTTTCTTTTTTATTAGTTTATAGCAGGTTTAGTTATAGTTTTGATTATAGCAATTGCATTCATGTCTGTTGCCATCAAAGATCATCAGGATTTGAAAAAAGCAAAAGATATTCAGGTTGTATTCTGGAAAATTTTCTTATTTATAATCAAAATTGTTTTTATAATTTATTTTATTATTATAGAAAATGGTGCTAGGTTCAGTTAGCAGAGAATCCAATACATTTGGCGATGTCAATTATCATGGAAGATATAAAGTGAGTTCATGTATATTTTTGTTATTAAAAATTATTATTTTACAATACATAATTATTTATTATAATAATATATTTTTGTTAATTAGTAATACAGTAATACAGTAGTAGTGGAACCTCGCTTAACAAGCATAATGCGTTTTAGAATCTTACTCGTAATGCGAAACGTTCGTTAAACGAAACAATTTTTTTCATATAAATTAATGTAAAATTGGATAATGCATTCCATGCCAAAAGAAGTACTCAAATATTTTACGTATAACGTTTATTCAAAGAAAATTATACAATATACTCTCACTGGCCAATGAATTAGAAACCCCCATGCATATTAAGTAAATGTGATTTTGCAACTTTTATGTAAAACACTTGAGTCATGTTAGTTACTACGTTAACACGTGTTCATAAGCTCCTATTTAAGAATGCTGTTTGTCAGTATGGTCATTAAGTTTATGAAAATGAGAAAAGCGAGACTTGACAGAGTTTTAAAAAGGGCTGATTGTGGTTGCCTGTCATGCTGGAGCCACGATATCAAGAACAGTAAAGCTGACTGGTTTTTCCAAAGGATATCCCGCGTGTTCAATTAGTGGAAAAATAATCCACAGTCGATGTCTAAAAGAAGTGACTGTGGCTCCAAAACAGTTAATCAGGAACGCGACCGACGTCGTCTGAAAAGGCTAGTGCGGAAAAAAGGGCATCCTCTGTGTAGCAATTGACGGAAGAATTTAATAAATCATGTCCCCGACCCATATCTACCCAAACTATGCGCAGGGAACTAAAAAGAATTAGTATGAACAGTCACAGGCCTATAAGAAAACTACTGATTTCTGCGAAGAACCGGAAAGTTCGTCTGCAGTGGTGTTAAGAGCGCCGAGGTTGGACATCTGAGTACTGGAAAAAACTAATGTGGTCAGACGAATCACAGTACATCTTATTCTGTACCGACAGTAGACAGAGAGTTTGGAGGGAACCCCATGAAGTAATGGTCTCGTTAACTCATCAGGGTTCTGGTGGGAGTGTTATGGTATGGGGCGTTCTGTAGGGACGGAACTGGTCCACTGATATTCCTGGTAGGTCGGGTGACCTCCAACGAGTACCTGAACATTGTTGACGATCAAGTTCATCCTGCAATGTTGCATTTTTTCTTGCATGTGACTGCTCTTTCATTGATGACAACGGTACTATCCATCACGCACGAATTGTTCAGCAGTGGTTCAGCAAGCATGAAGACGAATTTTGCCACCCACCCTGGCTACCACAGGGCCCAGATCTTCACCCCGTCGAAAACGTATGGGACATGTTAGAACGACAGATCTGCCAGCAAAGTCCGCTTCCGTCAAATCTGTGCGAACTAGAGGAAAGTCTAGTGAATTCCTGATATGCATTGGACTTGGAAGCACTTCAACACCTTATAGACTCCATGCCAAATCGAGTAAATGATGTACAGTAAGACCTCGCTTAACGCGGGGAATGCGTTCCTAGACAACAAAGCGCTAAGCGAAACAGCGTTAAACGAGATCATTTTAACATAGAGTAAATAGGGAAAGGGAACACGCGACCAAAAATAAACGAATTTTACTATAATTTTAAGTTATATTAGTGTGCAAATTAATATAAAAATATGTTAAATAACACATAAACATGTGCACACAGAAATGTATAGTTCATTTTGTGTGACTTTTCTGAAATTCTTTTTTTTCTTTTTTTGCGATAAAGTCGCGTAGTTTCATTTGACTCCTTTTCTTCTTTCCTTAAGCAAACGTCAGTAGCAGAAGATCTCAACCAAAACGCTTCGTCTTGTTTTGCACTCCTTTCAAAATCTGGATCATTCGCTACAGTTTGATCAATGATTTCGGTTATTGTTACCAAACTTTTACTAAGGAAATTTGTAGCAATTTCTTTGGGTTTTTCGTTTTCGGAATCTCTATTTTCCAGTTCTACACGAATTCCTTGTTCTGCCAGTTCTTGAAGGTCGTTGTAGGTAAGACCTGCAATAACTACTCCTCAATATCCTGCTCGTCTACATCTCCTAGTTCTATTGTATCGATTAGGTTGACAATTTGGTCAATCTAACGATACAGCGATAGGCTCTTCTCCAAAGCCATAACTAGGACGCCTATGGCGAAGAATAAAAATGGCGCTTTTTTAATTTTTGTTATTAAAAAAAATAATGCTATTCTAAAAAGAAATTATCTAATAACATCCAATATATTTTTCAACTATATATGTATATATACAGGCATACCTCGCCTCACGTCGGTAATTGGTTCCAGGAAAACGACTTAAGTCGAATTTACTTGTCTCCGAATCTACTTGTCACTAGGCTAAACCATAAATTACTATTCCCAGTTCTGTATTTTATTTATTAATGCATTTTTAATAATATATGGTTAATAAGAATCTATTTTAAGCTTACAAACAAATAAATTTTAGTTTTTAATAGAGTACAGAAAAAAGTAATCTAAATTTACGAATGCATGTACTGTA